TTTTTTCTTCAGTTCTTTTAGCTTGAGAAATGCTGAGCACATTCTTCCCTTTTGGTCTTCTGACTCCGGGGCTTTGCACATTTCATCACAGTACCTGAGTTTGTCTTCTCAAACTCCCGCTTGAAATTTTCTGTTCAGCTCTTTGGCTTTCTCATTTCTCCCATTTGCTTTGGCATCTCTCTGAGTCTCTTCTGACATCCGTTTTGATCTTTTCTTTCTTTCCTGTTTTTCAAATGACCTTTGCTTTCTTCCTGTATCATGGTCTTGATGTCATCATACAGCTCTCCTGGGGTTCGATCATTAATGTCTAATGCATCCAATCTGATCTTGAGATGATCTCTAAATTCAGGTGAGATATGTTCAAGGTCATATTCTGGCTTTTGAGGACTTGTTTTAATTTTCTTCAGCTTCAATCTGAATTTGCAATATGAGCAATTGATGGTCTGTTCTGCATCTACCCCTGGTCTTGCTTTGACTGATGATATGGAGCTTTTCCACCATCTCTTTCCACAGATGTGGTCCATTTGATTTCTGTGTATTCCATCTGATGAGGCCCATGAGTATAGTTGCCTCTTATGTTGTTTAACTAAAGTATTTGTAACATATAAGTCATTGGTCTTGCGAAAACTCTATCATGTAATCTCCAGCACCCTTTCTTTCACCATATTTTCCAACTATTAATCCTTCCTCTTTGTTTCCAACCTTTACATTCCAGTCACCTGTAATAATTTCAGACTGAAAAGTTGGTATCATTCTTCAATTTCACCATGTAAATTTGAATAATAGTGCTATTAACTGGTCTTCCTTATAAGTATATGGATATAATCCTATCACCGACAGCATTGTATTTCAAGAAAAATCTTGGAATGTTCTTTTTGAGGATGAATGCTATGCCATTCCTCTAGAATTTGTCCTTCCCAGCATAGTAAACCATGTGGTTGTCAGATTCAAATTGGACAAGCCAGTCCACTTAGCTCACTAATGCCTAGGATATCGATCTTTATGGATTCCATTTCATTTTTGAGAATTTCCAATCTTCCTAGATTCATACTTCATACATTCCATGGTCCAGTTATTCATGGATGTTTACAGCTGTTTCACCTCATTTTCAGGTCCATCTCATCAGCAGGTAAAGGCCCTGAAAGCTTTACTGCACTGCTGTCGTCATGGTCAACGGTATTTTCAGTGCATTCTAACTTTAGGGGCTGATTTTCTGGCGTTATATCTGACAGGGTTCTGCCGTCATTCAGAAGGTTGTCAGTGGCTAAACATTCCGAAGAAGTTTATGTTCCCTTCTTTCTTGTCTGTCTTAGGCCGGACACTCCACTGAAAGCTGTCTGCCGTGGGCGACCTGCTGGTACTTACAATACTGGAGGCATAGCTTCTGCATCACAGCAGCATGCACGGCACCACAGTGTCACAAACAGACAGACAGTGACATCAAATTGCTTCGGACATAGTAACCCTGTATAGGGTTTCCAAGGAGTGGCTGGCTGGTGGGGTTGAACAGGTGGAGTTGCAGTTAGCAGTCCAATGCTTACCCAACCACACCACATGTGGTTGTTGTAGTGTAGTGCTGTCGAGTCGGTTCCGACCCATAGCGACCCTAAATAGGGTTTCCAAGGAGCAGCTGGTAAGCTTGAACTGCCGACCTTGCAGTTCAAGCGTCTTTGCAGTCTGGTGCATTAACCCACAGCGCCACCCCACACCACATGGAACCCTTCAATATTACAACTTGAGGTTTGAATTATTTCTTCAGTTCTTTCAGCTTGAGAAATGCTGAGCATGTTCATCCAGTTTTGTTTTCTGACTCCAGGGCTTTGCACATTTCATGTTAGTACTTTTTCTCGAGCTGCCCTTTGAAATTTTCTGTTCATCTCTTGTACTTCATCATTTTTTCCATTCACTTTAGCTTCTCTACGTTCAAGAGCCAAGTGTCAGAGGCTCTTCTGACATCCACTTTGGTCTTGTCTTCCTTTCCTGTCTTTTTAAGGATCTTTGGTTTTCTTCATGTATGATGTTCTTATGTCATTTCCCCACAACTCCTCATTAAATCTGTTCTGGAGATCATCTCTAAATTCACGTGGGACGTATTCAAGGTCATAGTTCGGCTCTCATAGACTTGTTTTCAATTTTCTTCAGCTTCAACCTGAACTTGCAGATGAGCAATTGATGGTCCACTCCTGGCCTTGTTTTGCTGATGATACTGAATGTCTTCATCATGTCTTTTCTCAGATGTAGTCAGTTGGATTCCTTAGTATTCCATCTGGTGAGTTCCATGTGTATAGTCAACATTTATGCTGTTTAAAAAAGATACTTGCAATGAAGAAGTCATTGGTCTTGCAAAATTCTGTCATGTGATCCCCAGCGTCATTTCTATCACTAAGACCATATTTTCCAATCACTGATCCATCCTTTGTTTTCAACTTTTGTATTCCAATCACTAGTAATTATGTAATACATCTTGATTGCATGTTTGCTCAATTTCAGACTGAAGAAGTTGGTAGGGTTCTTCAGTTTCTTCATCACTGGCTTTAGTGGTTTGTGTATTTATTATTAATACTGTAATAATAACAAGGGGCCGGGTAACATAGTTAATCACAAGTGGGGCTGCTAACCACAAGGTCAGCAGTTCAAACCTAACAGCTACTCTGAGGAAGAAAGAGGAGGCTTTCTGCTCCTGTAAAGATTTATCACTCCGGAAACCGTAACCAAGGTCCCTCTAAGTTAGCACTGACTCCATGGCACATAATGACCCCACCACCATTTAATAAATGCTATTTGATTACATTTTATTTTACTAGATAAAATTTTCATGTACGTATGTAAGTACTCAGAATACATAATTTTTGGGGGTAATATTTCTGTTGTTGTTACGTGCCATTGAGTCAGTTCCAAGGAGCGGCAGGGGAGTCTGAACCACCGACCTCACAATTCAAATCAACCTTGTAGTCAAGTGCTTACTCTACAGCACCAGACCAGGACTCCATTAGCATAGCATACATTTCTGTGTTCATCAACACGTATCTTCATTTAAGAAATAACTTCTTAGTATCATTATGTAAGTGTTAGGGAGCCCTGGCAGCAGAGTGGGTGACAAGTCAGGCTTCTAAGCACCAAGTCAGCAGTTCGACTCCACCAGCCGCTCTGCAGGAGAGAGACGAGGCTTTCCTTCTGCTCCCTCCTGGAAAGAGTCACGGCCTTGGAAACCCCGCACACGGTCCCTATGGGTCACCACCAACTCCACCGCACAGCATCACCATGTAACTATTAAAATAGCTTAATTTTATTCCTTTTAGCATTGCTTTTGTATTATTCCTTTTAGCATTGTTGTTGTTTAAATAAATTTGTTTTAATAACATTTTTCCATTACACTTTTTCATAAATTTTTGAAGCCCTCTTATATTGCTATCATGGATAATTTTTAATATAAGTCTGTAAGTACTAGAATTAAGTTTTACCTGTTTCTGTAAATAGTAAATGTTTATTATTATTTAGTACATAATAAGCATTTTATTTGTTTTAATACATAAGTGAACTCTAAGCATGAGTATATCCCATGCAACATTTGGGATATACTTATACTGAGAAAACACAGACTGAGACCTTGGGGAACCAAGAACATTCATTCACTGATGTCCATGCTCCATAGTCCCAGAGACCCCAGGAGAGCCCCTCCACGTCCTCCCCACCCCTGCCTGCCTGACCTGTAGTCCTCCCGGGTGGCGATGAGGCTGGACACATTACGCAAGATGCCGCCCCCGCTCTCGATGATGGCCAGCGAGTTGCTCTGACACTTGTAGGTGAGCGTGCTGACCAAGAAGCCCAGGGCGCCGTCCACCTGGCAGATGGCTGCCTTGTTCTCTGTGCTGTGTGCCGAGAGGTTCCACAGGGCACTAAGCACGCTCTTCAGGGTGGACTCCTAGGGCAGGGAGGGCGTCAGTGATCCATAAGTATTGGCAGCAAATACATGTGCCAATAAGAAGCAAAAGTCATTAATAATTAACTGGAAACCATGGACTCCTTGCATCTAAGCAGTGCATTGTTGGGCTTGATTTCCCACGGAGGCAGAGAACTCACCGCCCATCACCCCTATCTCCCTGCTTTGTGGCCTGGGGTAGGTCACTTGTAGCCCGCCCCCTCAGTTCCCCACCCCCCCACCCGTGCCCACCTTGGAGGCCCGAAGGACACACTGCATCAGAGCTGTCATGCTGCCGACCTCCCTCAACACTTTCTTGCTGTTGGTATCGGCACGCCAGGACAGGTTTCGAAGGATGCTGGACACCACCTGGGGCCAGGTGGGATGGGGTACAGTGAGAGAGAGAGACAGAGGTCAGACGTAGGGTAACAGGGTGAGTTCAAGGGGCACAGGCCTAGAGCCAGGCTGGATCACCACGTGAGCCCCTCCCTCACCCTCAGTCAACAAGTCATCAACCCCCACAAGCAGTGGGGCCACAGACAGATGGGTCCACCCATGGCCATCAGCAGGGTGGGTCTTTGACAGTGAGGCTCTCTGGCCTGCCCCCCGTGACCCCTGGGGGTCCGAGCTCATACCTGGTGGAGTTCCTCACTCTCTGAGCTCAGTTGGGCCACAATGGCTTCCATGCAGCCCCTGCGTGCACACAAGGTGGTCTGTAGGGTGGAGGGGGGACACAGGAGGGTCACAGGCACAGGATAGGCAGGGAGGCCTGAGGAAGTCCCACTCCCAGCTAAGCATCTCCCCGCCCCCATCCTCACTGCCGCAGGAGAGGAGGAGTGGCAACTCAATGCTCAGATGAGGAAAATGAGATTCAGAGATGGTGGGGTTAGAGCACGCCACTCGGAGGTGATAGCAGTTCCTCACAGAGACAGCTATGGCAAAGGACCAGAGAGGACATGGCCCTGCCTGGCCCTCCGAGGTGGCAGCCATCCCTGCTACTCAAAGCTGTTTCAAGGCTGGAGGGGTGAGGGTCCCGCCCACCACGTACCTTGTTGGCAACGTCCCCAAAGGTGAGGTTGGTGAGGGTCATGCCAGCATAGCGGCGTAGAGCAAGGTTAAGGGGGTCACGGGTCATCTTGTGCATCTCGAAGTCCACCTGCAGGAGTTCAGCCACGGCCTGAAGCCCACCTGTGGGGACATGGGAGGGGGGTGTGGTGAGGCTGGGGGCAACCCCCACTTCCCTCCCCCCAGATTGGGCCACACCAGTCCCTTGCTGCCCTCCACCCTGCCCGCATACATTCTCCTCCAGGCTGCCTTCAAAGCCCAGGCCTCCATACAGCCTGCCCCAGCCTCTCCTGGCCTCACCCTTCAGTCCCAGGTCTCCCCATCACCCACAGGATCGGCAGGTCTTGTGCTTGCAGCCCCTTGGATGCTGTTCAGTGACCAGACTGAGTCCTTCCAGCCCTTCCAGCCCAAGCCCACTTCCTGTGGCCACAGAACCTTGGCATTTACTCCTTCCTTTGCTCAGACGGTCCTTCCCAAGCCTACTGGGCCAGGCTCCTGGATCCCACTTCAGCACCCAGCTTGGATATCCTTCCGTAGGGTCACCCCCCTGCTGCCCCAAATGAGGACCACCTCCCACCATTGGACAATACATTCCCGTTGGTTGAAACCACTCACTTGGTAGTATTTTGTTATAGCAGCCACAGAAAACAAACTAAATCCCAACCCAAAACTTCTCAAGGTTCCCCCAACACACACACACATACACACACACACACACAAAAAAAAAAAAACCCAAAAGAGAAACTGCATGAAACCCCGCAGAGACGCATCCCCAGAGCTCTGCTGCCGTCTTCATTGTGAACATCTGTTTCTCAATCCCTTTCCCTTCCCTGAGACCCAGATGATTACAGCTGAAAGGCTGCCTTTCATGGGAACAAGTTAGCAGGACAGTCCACTGGTGACACCTCCTATGGAACCCTCAGTAGTCTCTGTCTCTCTCTGGACCTCGATGCCTGGCCCCATGTGAACAAACATGATCCCTACAGCAAAGGAGGGCTTCCTGGAGGAGGCAGTGGGACCACTCACCCAGCTCATTCATGGCTCTGCGATACTCCTCATCAAAGGACAGCTTCATGATGGCACAGGTGGCCTGGCAGATCTGCGGCTCAATGGGGACAGGAGCTGTGGACCAAGGGGGCAGGTCAGAGGAATGGCCCCATGGTCAGTACCCTTGCCCCTCTCTCCCCTCCCCACTCACAGGCCACGGTCATTCCAAGTGGTCCCTGGGACAGTGAACCCTCTGTAAATGGGAGACTTCGGTGCCTGCCTCAACCTCCCGACATGTGAAATGGCACAGCCCGACCCCTGTGCCCAGAAGCCTTGGCCAGCTCTGAGCTGTCCATGGTCACGGATTAACCTTTCAATAGGTTGCAGAAAACATGAATTCTCAAAGCTTGCGTGTACTTTTCATAGCCTGCCCACTACCGGCTATATCATCAGCATCCGCTTGGCGCCAAGTTACAGCTAGGACATCCACTGCTGGTGGCAAGTTGTCAAGGCAAGGACCCAGGTCTCCGCACATGGCTCATAGCAAGCCACGGTGACGGCGACGATGTGCCCGTTGCGTGGACGGTCCAGGAGCCAGCACTTACCGTCACCTGCATCCGGGGCGCTGTCACATGCCCGCAGGCAGTCCCAACAGGTCTCGCAATAGGCCCGGACCTGCTCCAGCACGTGCAGCACGCGCATCTCTTTGCGGGCCAGACCCTGGTCCGGCTGCGAGAAGACGATATTGTGCAGCGCAGCATTGGCGCGCATGCGTGCATCCTTGGCGCCAGGTGCCCCGGGGGTCCCCACACCGCCTCCAGACCCCTGCCCGGCTTCAGCACCGTGCAGAATCTGCAGGAGCAGCGGCAGGCAGCCTGAGCGACGCATGGCCACGCAGCTCTCAGGAGAGCTGGACATGGCGAGCAGGGTCCGCGCTGTGTCCTCCTGGTCACGCGTCGCCAGCATGGACAGCAGCCAAAAGACTACCTCCACCTTCGAGGGACGGGGAGAGGAGGGTCAGGGAGCTTTCTGCTGCCTGCCCTACCTGGCTAAGGTGGGCCCCTAAAACATGGCGAGTCATGTGACTACTGCACACTCCCCAGCCTTACAGTGGGTCCTCATCCCTCACCTGGGGGGAGGCCCACACAGTTGGGAGGATAAATAAGGGAGTGACAGGTATACATACTCTGCGGGGATTATTCCAGTGGGTAAAATCCCTCACCAGTGGCTCCCTGGGATCACCCCCACCTCTAGGGGTATAGACTGGACTTGTCTCCAGTGCCCCCAAACATATAGGGCATCCTAGCCACCAACCTCACCGTGAGACCCGTCCCAGGAAGGCCCCTCAACAGCTAGGGGCCTGGACGGAAACCTCAGCATGTACCCCAGCCGGCTGCTCCCCACCTGGACCCCACACTCACCTTGCTGTTGCCTGGCTGAGTACCACCATCGTCAGGGTGCGTGGGGACCTCTTTCTCACGGTCCTCGTCCACCGGTACCGACTTCACTGCTAGCAGCGCCTGTGGGAAAAACACTAGGCTTGGGGGCGGTTTACTCTGGATGCATCACACAAAGCCCCCCCGCTGCTGAAGCCAGACTGTCCGCTATGTTAGGACAGGAGGAACCCCAAGACCTGGGGCAGCCCTCCCCAAGCCTGGTTCCTTCCTTATGGTACCTGGGGCTCTGTCTGCTGCACCCGATCTTGTGCCTCCAGCAGCTCCTTGTCTATTTCCTCCAGGCGTGAGGCGCGGATCTGCGAAGGACAGACACGCTGGCCAAGCTGCCCAGGCTGGGACTCTGCCCATTAGCACTGTAGCTCCGTCTACTCCCTATCTAACTCCGCCCACTGTATAGAGCCCACCTTATTTCTGGAACACCACCCATTCCTGGATCTGACTCTATCCACCCCTAGACTGACTCCACCCACTCTCAGATGTGGTCACCCCCAGTGTCCAAAAGAAGGCTAACAGCTTAAACACCACCCCTTCCTTTGTAGGACTTCACTCTACAGTCTTGAAACCCACTAGTCATTCCTTGGAAACCCTATACAGGGCCGCTATGAGTCGGAACCAACTCGACGGCACACCAATTCTTAACAATCTTAGCCCTACGATTCGCCCACAAGTATATGGCTCCTCCCACTAAACTAAATTCCCTCAGGTCTCTGACCTCAAGATTTGCCCATGGCGTAGGTATCCACCCACCCCAAAACCTGACTCCCCCCCATCTCCAAATCTGTCCCCATCCTTCAATGTCCATTAACTTGTTCAAACCCTCCGCAACCACTTTCTAGGTCCGATCCTTCCTTATAGTACTCCACTCATAAAGATCTCGACTCTCTGATTTGCCCAAGGTTTCTGACGCCACCGCCAGCATGTGGCCCCGCCCACCTCACGAGCCGCCGCTCCCCGCCTCCCCGAGGCACACCTGTGCTCGCTGCACCATCTCATCTGAAGTGCCAAAGCGCTCCTCCATCAGCGAGCGGATGTGCTGAGCCTCGAACTCCAGCTGTTGCCGGATCAAATCCATCTGCATGGAGAACTGCCGGAAGAGAAGCAGGTCACCCTTGAGGAGGCACCCAGGCTGGGGACCGGCACTCCTCCACCCCGGCTACCCACAATCACTCACCGTCTCCACATGTGGCAGCTCGTCCAGGCGTTTAGACAGGCCCTGCAGCTGGGAGTAAAACCACAGCTTCTCCTTTTCCTCCTTCTCAATCTCATTCAACAGAAAGCACCTGGGGGTGGGGGCGTGACTCAATGAGCCTTAATTCCCACCAAGTTGTCCAGACAGCAAAGGTCATGGCTCCCCCTGGTGGGGTCCTGACACTTCCGGGAGGGACACAGAAATGAATACAGAGAGGAGGAGAAAGGGAGTCCCTTGTGAAAGTCTCTGGGTGGGGTCGTTCCCTTCAGCACTTGCTACTCATCCCCTCCATTCAGTACAGACCAGGCTTCAGGTTCAGAGGGTTCCAGGAGCCTCAGAGCCTCCCTGTCAATATCCTTGTGAACAACACTTCTACTCCCACTGTTCAGAGTGGTAAGTCTGAGGCTGGGAAGGATGAACAAGGGCTTGATGATAGGCCTCTGTCCGAGCCTACCCAACCCAGCCAGACTGACTGAGTTCCAGACCTGCCTCCTTCTGCTGGCTCCAAGCCCAGCTTCTTTGGGCCTCGTCCCTTTCTCCACAAAGACTGCCTTGGGCCCCTTTGGCTCCAGGCCTGACACTGAGCCTGGGTGCTGGACAAACCCTGTCCCGAGCGACACCTGGAAGTGTCTCCCGGGAGCTGTGTCCCCTGCCAGGAACCCTGTGTTCCTCTTTGTCTCTTGCTTAGGCCACGTGGACATTCTGTCTCACCGTTCCTGGTCCAGTTCCTCCAGCAGACGGATGGCAGCCCGGCTTGGCTCCCCGACACCATCCTTGGAGGTCCCAGAGCCGTGGAAGGGGCTTCCCTCAGGGCTCCGGTTGAGGGGCTCAGGGCCCAGGGCTGGTGGCTGGAACTTGAGGTTGTACAAGCTGGAGATGTCCATCTGCAGGGCTGGGTGGGGAGAAGGAGAGGTAGAGGTCAGTGGCAGCCTGGCCCCTCAGCCTCCCAGGCAAGGAGGGCAGGGCACCCTCACCTTTCAGCTGCTCCAGCACCTCTGTCTGCCCGGAGGACACCAGCACTCGGGCCTCCAGCTCCAACTTGCACTGTAGCTGCTGCAGGACCTCCTGAGGGTGGGATGGACGTTCAGGGTGGCCACTGCCCTGGCTTTCCTGCCCACCTCCAGGGTCCAGCCCTGACATCTGTCCCTGCACCCCGGATGTGACCCATCCAGCCCCCTCACAGTCCCACCTTCATGCCCGACGTCTCCGTCTCCAGCTTGGACAGGTGGTTCGAGTTGTCCTGTAGCTCTTGCCGCAGGTGGCTGTTTTCAGCCTTCAAGGCCTCCACCTGCCGCACCAGTTGTTCATAGGAGGCCACAGAGCTAGTCATCTTCAGCTCCTGCAGTGCCTGGGGCCACAGGGTCAGGGTCACCAAGGGCCTGAAGACGGGGTGGCTGGCACACCAAGACAGTCTTGAGTCCTGAGCCCCAGTTCTCCCGATAGTCCTGGGTGGGACTGACTGGCGTGGCCACTTCAGGGAACCCAGGCAGACAGCGTGGCAGATGGAGTGACAGACACAGATGACAAGGAGACAGGGGGGCAGGGGCAGAGTCTCACACAGATGCTCAGATACAGAGACAGCCCAAAGGTCTCACTCGCCGATGGGTCAGCCTCTCACAGCCAGGCTCATGTACTGACCCATGAGAGCTTTCCCTAGAGAAGCATGCCTTCCCACAAGTAGGTGGACAAATGGACAATGACCATAGCATGAAGGCCAACACCTACAGCTAAGGAAGCCAGGGAGAGGGGTGGCTGGGGTATGTTTAGATAGCCACACAGATGGACCCTAACCCACCATGGTCACCTGAAGTTGGGGATTTGGGATGGCCCGTCGCCCCTACTCCCACTCCACCAGTGACTAAGCCCAGGCGAGCTACCTGCATGGTGGGGTGTCCCTCTGACAGCCCTGGGCTAGCCTCCACCCGTGCCCGCTGCCCGTGTCCCATTGCCTTCTGCTGCCATCTCTGCCCACTTCTTTGTATCTCTGGCTGTCCTCTGGCACAACGGCCCTGACTCCTCTCTCTGTCCGGCTGGGTCCCTTCGACTTGGCCTTCCAGCCTGAGCTAGTCCGCCCCCTCAAGCCCCTTCCTCTTTGTTCCCTTACCACCCTCACACACACCCCTCCCTCCGCCTTTGTCTGAGAGGAGCCAATGGCAGCCAGCTCCTCTGCCTCCTCCTCCTTCCAGCCCCTTCCCCTAATCAGTCCCGCCTACAATCCCCCTTCACTCCTCACTGGGCACATTCATTCATTCACTGGCTCATTCATTCTTCTCTTCCTCTTCCAACCCCAAGAAGACACCCACCCACCCTGGGGGCCACCAAGGGCACAGCTGAGCCTGAAGTAGGCCCCCCTAACCCACTCGAGGGCCTACTATGTGCCTGGCTCTGGTCCCTGGCTTCTTCCAGACTTTCCCAGAGGGGAAAACTGAGGCCAGCCAGATTCAGAACCCTGACCCCACCTTGGCCTCAGCCCAAGGGACTTAGATGTCCCAGTGACTCTGGAGGCAAAGCAAAACCCGCTCTTTCTTTGGGTTTCGGTCGGCCCATCTGAGCCTGCAGGCAAGTTCACTTGCCCTGCCATATTCCCAGATCCATGTAAGGTCAGCAAAACAAACAGGAACCAGAGTAGATGAAGGTCAGAATGGGATGCCCAAAAGTTCAGTGAGGGTCTCAGTGTGGATAAACCCATGGTGAAATCCTTAGGGTCTGGCTCAAGCTGTGCCTGGACGAGACCACTATGGTCTATCCAGATGGGGTGCAAACCCCTATGAATGTGCTTCCCACTCCCCAGCCAAGACCCCTCCTGGGCTGCCCAGGATGGTCAGGTGAGCCTCTAGGACTGCTCTCACACTGAACCTGGTGCCCTGCCCTTCCCTCCTCTGTGTCCTCATCAGAATGACAATGCCAACAGGCAGCAGAGTCACCCATGGTCTACCCTTCAGCCAGCCTAGTGCCACCAGCTTCCCCAAGCTCTGGCCTACCAGAACACCCACCCCCACAGGACACCCTTGCCTGGCCATCCATGATCCCCTTCTCATGAGCAGCCAGAGGGAGCTTTCAAAGTCACAAATGGGGTCCCACCCCTCTGCTACTCAAACACCTCCCATGGCTCCCCAGTACTCGCAAGACCCAACTCCTCCTCAAACCCACCATCTCACCTGCCCCTGAAAGCTCCCTCCCCACCCCCACCCCCAGACCTGTGCACACTGTCCACCTTCCTCTTCACCTGATATGTGCCATCCTCAGAGGGAAGCTTCCTCCAGGAAGCCCTCCTACTGCCTCCTTTCCTGGGCTGGGGAGGTTCCTTCAGAAAGGGAAAGGACTAGTACTGGGACTGGGTATCTCTAGGACGGAGCCAAGAGTGGCTGCACAGGGGTGGGGAAACGGCTTGGTGTTATCAAAGGTGCAGACTCAGCAGGCCCCAAACGTCTGTTTCTCTCCTTTAATCCAAAACCCTGCTTTGCAGCGAGGGACATTGAGTCACACGGAGCCGCAGCTACACTGGATCCAAGGCATGAAGCAGATCTCTAGCCTTCCATAGTCTCTGAGCGCCCCTGTGAGTGGGTGTGTGATCTCGGCTTCAGCTGCACAGACACCCACCTCCCTGGGAGCCACAGTGGCTCCTAAATCTGTGCTGACCAGCAACGCAAAGCAGAGATAAGACCCTGGGGAACCAGTGGGTGGCGCCCCCTCCCTTTCACCCCTTCAAGACGCCGCTCACTGTCTCACCGGGTGGGCTGGTGGTAGCACTGTGGCCAGGGTCCTCCGCCAGCCGCGCAGTTTCCCAGGGCCCACCTGGACCTGCAGCTGCCCGGGGCGGAGCCTCCGGGGTCTTGGTGGCGCTGGCAGGGAATGCCAGGGCGGACAAAGCCCGTCCCGGCCTGGCCAAGCGGCACAGCCGCCTCTTGGCACTGGGCGAAACCACCGTGCGCGGGGGAGGATGCGGGATGCAGGATGCAGGTGCGCCGGCCAATGATGGCACGGGAAGAAGGGCTGGTGCCATGGCAACAGCCAATGGCAGCCCGGGGCGGGGATCAGCCGTGGCCGCGGGGCTCTGGGTCTGGAAGCCCGTTAGGGGGCTGCGTCCGGGGGGAGTGAACCCCCCAGGTTAGGAGGCGCCCTGGTAACTGGAACCCCCATGTGCCCCGCCCCACTACTTCAAAGTGAAATGGAATCTTAAGATCCCCTGGGGAGGGGAGGGGAGGGGAGGGGATGATTCGCAGGATTTAAGTCAAGCACCTGAGTAATCTGGAATGTTACATCAGAATCTTGGAAGGGAGGGCTCCTGAGGCAGGGGTAGAGGACTACGTGAGCCCCTCCCCACGAATCCAACCCAGCCTTGTGTGCTTGGGTCAAGGTGGGACAGGACTTGGAGATCCCTGGGGACCTTCCTAGGAGTCCTGGCCAGCAAGGGGAATGGGCAGGCACGCTGAGGGGCTCCTGAGACTCTGCATCTCTCCCCATCTCCTTGGCATTAGTCTCACCTGGGGCTCTTCCTCTCCTTCCATCCCAGGCTGTGTCTCTGTCCCTCCTCACATCCTTAATAAGGCTTTACAACAGGGAAGCAGGGAGGGGTCTGGAGTCTCAACAATTTACGTTCTCAGATGTCCCTGATCCTCAATCGGTCCCGATGGCCACTTGAGGACTTAACGCCCAGAGCCCACCCCTGCATCTGCGGTGAAGTCCTCCCTGCAGGAGGAGGTGACCTGGGTCAGGGCTGCAGACTGGACACGTAGGTCTGAGTTTCCCAGCTGTGGATGAGGCAGTCATCCTCCAGCCACCCTCAGCTTCCTTCCCTGCAAAATGGGGCAACTCACCAGGCAGGTGATTCTTCACTATGTCTTTACAAAGAGTAAAAGAAAGTGTGATGTCACTGTAACCAAGATCATTGGGACCACATACTTTTCTGTTGAATCTGAAACTGGAGACCCCCAAGAGCTGTCCAGTTCCAGGCCAGCAATGCCAAGTCCCCAGAGGATCGGCCCTGAGGATCCTTCAGAGTCAGACACAGCTGTCCCCAGCTTGGGGAGGAATGCAAACGGAAGAGACAGGGGCACTGGTGCTGGGCCAGGTGATCAAGGTGACCAACAGTATTCTAGACTTGGAGAACAGTATGTACAGAGGACCACCATATGCATTCTCAGGGGATACTCGGTGAGTGGTGGGGCTGCCCGGTCCAGAGGAAGCTACAGAGATTTAGAGCCGAGGTCGTCCCCCTGGCCATGGGAGATGAGGGTGAAGCTGGACAAGTCTGGGCTGGGGACTCAGAGCCCAGCGCCCTGACTGAAGCTCTACCACCATCCTCCTGTGCCCTTTTACATGCTTCTGTCTTCTCTCTTCACTGGAGGGAGGCGGGATGGCACCTGGGTCCCTCCCACTGGAATTCAGTCCATGCCCCTCCCAGCCCTTTGAGTTGACAGGGAGTTGGGAGTCAAGTGATCAATCCTCATACAGATGGGGAAACTGAGGCTCAAGCCAGGAAGCATATTGCTCTAGTTCACACCTAGGTCCCTGAGTGGTAGTGGGTTTGTATTCACCCTTTTGGGCGTGGCCAGGATCCGAATGGTGGAGGGTCCTCAGACCCCAGGGCAGATCCCTCTTGACCCCAAGCTTCTGTAACACCCCCAAGCACTTGACCTATAAATCCTGGGAACACTGCTAGCCAAAGCAAGCACTGGACATAATTCTAGATTTATTTACATGACGCTCGCTTTGGCCCATGGCCACCCTGAGGCCCTGCATGCTGTGGCTCACATCCTGGACTCAGTAGAGGTCACTCACAGAGGGTCTTGGAGGCATCTGAGCCCGACCTTGGGGAGTCCCTGCCCTTCGGTGGCCTACCTTCCCCCACCATGCCTCCTCTGTGCCAGGGTCAGAGAGAAGCAGGAAGCCCCCAGGTCACGGCCTGGCAGTAGCCATGAGCGCAAGACCTGAAGAGGTGAGTGGGTCTTACACTGGCATGGCCTTCAGGCCTCAGTTTCCCCATCAGGAAGGGAAAGACGTGCAGACCAATCAGCACCGTGGACAGCAACCTCCAGCCTCTAGCATCGCCTTCGCAGGCGCCTCCGCAGGACGCTAGGACTCTGGCCCTGCTCCAGGAGTGACCTTGGGGTTGGGCCTCAGTTTCCCCCACTTCTGAGGCTCTTGTAGCCCCAGGTTTCAGCACAATCCTGGAGCCAGCAAAGCTCTTGAACCCGGTGGGAAGGGATATTATTAGTGTTAACAACATCAGCGTCGCCGACCATAAAGGAGACCCTGTACTCAGGACCTGTAAGGAAACCGATGCCCAAAATGCAGGGTGTGGCCCAGTCTCCACGGAGGCGGCCAGTA